GTAACCAGATTTGGAGGGTACTTCAGGAGTACCGTCCAAACAAATAATCCGGTGGTGCAAATCCCGTCCGGGTCGCACAAGGGCTGCTGCAGGTGCATCATGGTTTACATGAGCGGGAGGGGGATTTCCGCCATTATTGGTGCTAGCAGGGCACATAGGGGTATTTTTGGAATCGGGGCGACGAGACAAGATGAATGGATCTGGTCCCGACCCTATCGGCCGCTTTTACAAGTTGGCCAGATCAGAATCTTCAAAAAAGGGGGTCGACCGACTAAAAAAATTTATTGCAGATTTCGATTGGTCTCAGCAAGACCTTTTCAACGAGGGGTCGGAAAGGGGGTCCAGGAGCCCGACTTCGTCAATTAGTCACATCAGGATCTTCAAAAAAGGGGGTCGACCGACTAAAAAAATTTATTGCAGATTTCGATTGGTCTCAGCAAGACCTTTTCAACGAGGGGTCGGAAAGGGGGTCCAGGAGCCCGACTTAGTCTATTAGTCACATCAGGATCTTCAAAAAAGGGGGTCGACCGACTGAAAATTTTTACTTAAGTTTTCGATAGGTCTTGGCAAGACCTCTTCAACGAGGGGTCGGAAGGGGGGTCCAGGAGCCCGCCTTCATGAGTTATGGGAAAAAGTGCGACGGACTCGTTTTGCGCTCCTGCTGTGCCTCTATTGCAAGGAGTTGCAGTAGCATGGCAAATATGGGTATTTTCGGAATGAGGGCGAAGAGACAAATGAAATGGGCATATTCTAAGGACAGTTGGAGTAAAAAGTGTAAGGACTATTGCATATTGTGAATAGAAGGGCGGGCCTAAGTCACGATGGTACATCGATAACTTTGCTTTACCCGCTCACGGTGTGCGTGATGCGAGCGGGCCGAAGGCCCGGGCCTTCGACTGGCCAAGTTGGGTCTGATGCGAGGGCCGAAGGCCCGAGAAAAGGCCGCCGGCAGGCCAAGCTGGGCCGGCCCCCTGTCGAACCGAGTTGCCGGCGCAGCGAAGCGGAGCTGGCAACTCGGTTCGACGGAAGGGCGGGCCCTAGCTTGTTTGAGAATGTTGCCAGTGACGGAGACCCGATTGCGGCACAGTTTCGGAAATGTCTCGACCAGACCTACCGATGGGGCGAATAAAAATTTTTAGTCGGTCGGTCCCCTTTTTTGAAGATTGAGTGGATTTTGTTGAATTTAGGCCTATTTAATCGTTTTTGAGGATGTTGCCGGTGACGGGGACCCGATTGCGGCACAGTTTCGGAAATGTCTCGACCAGACCTACCGATGGGGCGAATAAATATTTTTAGTCGGTCGGTCTCCTTTTTTGAAGATTGAGTGGATTTTGTTGAATTTAGGCCTATTTAATCGTTTTTTAAGGATGTTGCCAGTGACGGAGACCCGATTGCGGCACAGTTTCGGAAATGTCTCGACCAGACCTGCCGATGGGGCGAATAAAAATTTTTAGTCGGTCGGTCCCCTTTTTTGAAGATTGAGTGGATTTTGTTGAATTTAGGCCTATTTAATCGTTTTTTGAGGATGTTGCCAGTGACGGAGACCCGATTGCGGCACAGTTTCGGAAATGTCTCGGCCAGACCTACCGATGGGGCGAATAAAAATTTTTAGTCGGTCGGTCCCCTTTTTTGAAGATTGAGTGGATTTTGTTGAATTTAGGCCTATTTAATCGTTTTTGAGGATGTTGCCGGTGACGGGGACCCGATTGCGGCACAGTTTCGGAAATGTCTCGACCAGACCTACCGATGGAGCGAATAAAAATTTTTAGTCGGTCGGTCCCCATTTTTGAAGATTGAGTAGGTTTGCTCGGAAACGGTGAGAAATTTGTTCCCCTTTTTTGAAGATAAAGTAAGTTTTCTCGGAAACGGTGAGGAATTTTCAACTTTTGGGATTTTTCCCAATTTTCCCATAAAATTTGGAATTGAATGGAAAAAACCGCAAGTCTCTACGACCACTCCTTCACCCCAAACATTTCTATGAGTGAGTGAGTGAGTCAGTCAGTCAGTCGGATTGGGGCTATATAGGTTCACGAGACTATATTTTTCAGTTGTTTGCTTTGCTCAATAACAGTTAGAAAATATATTAATACATTCTATGAGTACAAACCAGATGCTAATCTTGCCAAAATAAATAGTCTTTGCTGACTCTTGGCACTGATTCTGGGAAAAGGCTTCATTGCAATGCTGTGAGTTTACTATAGTACTAACCTTAAAGAAAACCATATGATGAGTGAGTGTAGCGCATTCAAGGTTTGACATTGACATCAGATTCAATGAGACGATTCACTGACTTGGTCATATGATTTCATGAGACGATTCACTGACTTGGTCATATGATTTCATGAGACGATTCTTTTAACTTAATCATACATTGTCTGCGACAACTGGTAATTTGTGTTGGTCATGGTTTGAGTTTGCTTTTTTTTTTTAATTTACTCAGAATGTTAGGTAAATACTTTTGCTAAACTGTTTCAAAGATTAAATAACACACCATGACTATCATTATCAATAAGATAAACTTGCATTTAGCAATAAGTGGCCTCGACATTGGATTCTATGACACGATTCATTGGATCTGACAGAAGGTCTTCTCCGTAAAGTAGTTGAAATCAGCCTGCCAGTAAATATGTCTCTTTTTAATTAATGCAGATAAATCAATATAGTTAAATCCACTAGTTTAAACTAAAAGGGAGAAAGGCTATTTAGGTATTACTAATAACATTGCGTATTCATAAGTTCAGTAACAAGGAGATATCGAATGGTAATTGAAGTATTTGTGAATCGTATTAAGCAATTCAATGCTGGCTGTTAAATGTTACTCGACTGAGTAACAGGGTCAGGGTTCGTGGCATGACACTATGAACAGGAAACGCTCTTAAGAAACCTAACAACTGAAGACCCATACTTTCAACTAGAATTACATGATTTGCGACCAAAATTTCCTCGGTGTTTCATTGCTTTCTGCAGTATTTGGTGTGCTGATCACAAAAATGACTTCCAATGTCATCCCAGACCTTTACTATTCCAAATATTTACCAATTTTGGACCATAATTTTTACATCGAGTTTTACATAGTTTCCTGCAGTTTTTGGTGTGCTGATCACGAAAATGACTTCCAATTTCATCTCAGACCTTTACTTTTCCAAACTATTACCAATTTCGGACCAAAATTTTTACATCGAGCTTTACATAGTTTCCTGCAGTTTTTGGTGTGCTGATCACGAAAATGACTTCCAATTTCATCTCAGACCTTTACTTTTCCAAATATTTACCAATTTCGGACCAAAATTTTTACATCGAGTTTTACATAGTTTCCTGCAGTTTTTGGTGCGCTGATCACGAAAATGACTTCCAATTTCATCTCAGACCTTTACTTTTCCAAATATTTACCAATTTCGGACCAAAATTTTTACATCGAGTTTTACATAGTTTCCTGCAGTTTTTGGTGCGCTGATCACGAAAATGACTTCCAATTTCATCTCAGACCTTTACTTTTCCAAATATTTACCAATTTCGGACCAAAATTTTTACATCGAGTTTCACATAGTTTCCTGCAGTTTTTGGTGCGCTGATCACGAAAATGACTTCCAATTTCATCTCACCTTTACTTTTCCAAATATTTACCAATTTCGGACCAAAATTTTTACATCGAGTTTTACATAATTTCCTGCAGTTTTTGGTGTGCTGATCACGAAAATGACTTCCAATTTCATCCCAGACCTTTACTTTCCCCAAAATTTACCAATTTGTGACCAAACTTTTAAAATTGAGTTTCACATTGACCCTGTATTGGCCTTACTTTGCATATATTCTTCACCATCTTCTACAAGAATACAGACGCATCGCTCGCCTACTACGCGCCCAAACAAAACGGCGCGTACCCCTAGTTCATAGTTGAACCATGCATAAGCACTACAGGTCGAACAGATGTCCAGCAACGCCACGCTGTAAACAAAGAGGAAAAAATATTAGTGGTATCAAGAAAAAAAATAGTCTAGAGTTAAAACGGTTAGCTGTGAAGCCCGAAGCCCCGGCTTTCCTGCCCGAAAACAACTCACTTGATGCTTGGCGCGTGTGTCAGGCCGTGTCGCCTGCGATGCCCACGAAAAGAGATGGGTTTACGAGGTCGAACCACACATCAGCCACCCTCTCCTTCCCTCTCCCTTGGCGAGAGCGTCGCCGCGGCTCCGCAGGGGGTCGGCCTGGGTCGGCGGCGCGGCCGGGGCTGCGCGCCGTGCACACAGGCACCCCTGCGAGCACGCGTGTCGAGCGGGCTGGCCTACCCCGCCCTTCGCAGGCGCCCGGGCGCGAAGCCTGCACGGGCTGCGCACGGCGAGGGCTAGCGAGGGCGCTGAGACTCCAGTCACAGTCTAGTGTGAAATCACAGTGGTTCCTCATATTTTTTGTGAGAATATTGTGCAGTTGCCTCCCATTCTCATTGTAGTTCCAGTGCACTCTTCGCTTATTATGCAACTGCACTCAAGACTCGACCCAACGGTCACTTTTAAATGAATTATTACTACATAATGTGTTTGTAAATGTATTGAAGATTGAATTGTGCCGTGAGAGTAGTTAAAACAGTGTCCCAACTGTAGTTTGAGACTACAGTCAAGACTGTCGTGTCATAAAACAGTTTGACTGCAGTTAGGACTACGTTCCAACCGCAGAGCTACCTTCACATCCAGAATGCACTTTAAAGACAGTTATCTGTCAATAAAGACTGCAGTTCTGTAACTGCAGTTTTGGCACTGAGTTTAAACTGTAGTTGTACTACTGATCCTTCCACCCGGGAATCAGGCTCCAATTCACGGCGTTTACAGTGGCCAGATCACAGTGAACACTGTAACCGAGATCACAGTGAACGCCGTGAACTAGTTCACAGCAAACGCCGTGAATTGCATAACAGCAAACATTGGTAATAAATTAACGGCGTTGACAGGACATTTTTTGTAGAGTGTAGGCCACCCATCGCACAGCCCTGTGTGCTGCGAGGATACACTGTATCATCCGCGTTTTACTCTCTCCTCTTTGAAATACAAATGTCAATTTTTTTTCTACAGGTTGTTTTCCTGTGTTGCCATGTCGGGGAGAGTGACGCGCAGCCAACAGCGGCTGGATGACTCGTCATGTGTAAGCATTTGGGAGCGTTCGTGGCCAGTCCATAGAAAATTGTTCCTAATAATATGAATGTGTATGTAACTTATTTCAGAGCACTTCGAATGCGAACCCGCGGAAACGCGCCAGGACAGCCGCAGCCAAGGCCCCCGCCAACAAGAAGGCCACCAACGCTGAGCTCACCGAGCGCGCCGAGCGCGCTGAAGCCGCGGAGACAGCGTTGATCGCCGTGGCCGAGGAGGCAGCCGAGCGTGCCGCTCTCCAAGAGGCAGCAAGGAGAAACGTTGAGATCGCCGCTGCATCGGAGGTGGCAGCTCTACTTGCCGCGGCCGAAGAGACCAACACCCTTTACGCGGAGCTATCAGCCGAGCTTTCCGACGCCAAGTTCCAGGCCGAAGTCAGTGCTGAGCTCGCCACCAAGCAGGCCGCCGAGCTAGCCTTATTAATGGACCAACTGGCTTCCGCAAGGAAGGCCCTGTTTGCCCCCAGAATGAGCGAGAGCCTGGTGAGTCGATTTGATTTTTTTCGAATCATTTTTATTAGCCAATCCTTCGGATCAATTTCACTTCTTAATGCATTCTTCTTATCAATTACAGGACAAAGGTGTTCAGACGCAAATTGAAGGAATTTCAGTCCAGACGCAGACCACCCTCTCCTCACCAGCGGAGCTCCAGGCAGTCGAGACGGTCGCCGTTCATGGCGAAACACAGGTAAAGCAGTTTTTGAGATGCCCCTGTAGAGTTAGCAACCATTTCGTTCTGTGAGGTTCTCGGGCGATCTGGCCAACGAGCATAGTCAGAGCTTAAATAATTCTTCTCTCCATGCATTGTGTGTCTAAAATAACTGGTGTTATTTTTATTGCTTTTAAGGAACAGCTGGAAGCAGCAATGGAGAGCTTGCGGGACCGGCCTGCACTTCATAAATTTGTTGAGGATGCTCTGAAGAATCCTGTAGCAAAAGAGTTCCTTATGGTAAGAAGTGTTCTATACACATTTTATTCTAGTTTTTTTTTTTTGTTAATTACGTTTTCTAATGGCTCACTGTGAGAAAAATGTACGGTAACACTGTTAAAAAATTCGGATTGAAATTTCATAACATGTTAATGTAATTATTATCACTTTTCTATTATGAAATTTCATGGCGATTTTCTGCAATGAAATAAATTTCATTGCAGAAAATCACCATGAAATTTCATAGCAAAGTGTTGTGAAACTTCATTAAATTGTTCATGAAAATTCATATGCAAGTTTTGATATTTTATTTCCAATTGTGGTATTGTATTTCATAAATGGGTAATGTAAACTTGACCGGTATCTTGACTCTCAGTCCAACAGCAGTTCTAAAAATTGCAAGCGGGCTAGGTCCATCTTAGACATAGATCTTAACCCGGAGTGACACTCAGTCAGATGAGTTGGTGGCATGTTGTACCACAACCACGAGGAGGCTCTCGCTGGACCTAACCCAATGGCCGACTGTAGGCGCCAGCGAGTCGCAACATGGTTCTGCGTTTTTCTCGACTTCAGAGTAATATTTTGTTTAACACTTTTAGCATACGTCTAGAGTAGATATTCACTTAGGTAACCAAGGATAAACTTTTGAAAAAAATATTGATTTTACTTCAATGAATAGGCAAAACTTACAAGTGAACGAACACGGCACTCCGAGCGCCACCTAGCGGCAGCTTCTTGTAACCTGACTTTGAGCCCAGGTGGCTGACAGGCCGCACCATGTGAACAGTGGATTGACCACAGTTTGCGTTAAATGATACTAAAATTCTTTTTTGGTGCGACGTTTGATTTACTACTTATATTATCACGCTACATTTACTCAGGGAAGAGCATAGGAATATTCCGAATCACGATTAGGTTCAAACTCAGTCAAACCTGAAGTTTCTTCCACCCGGGCAATGTAAGAGCCATCAAAACCTGCCCATCACAAGTCAAAGACCGACATGAAATTTTATATCTTGGTTATGAATTTTCAGAAACACAACAAAATTTGTAGTTTCACGTTTTGACTTTTCATCAAATCTCTTGACGTTTCATTGCAGACTTGATTTTTCAAGGAGATATTATAACGTTTCATGAAATGTGTTCTGACATTTCATTATATTTATGAAATTTTATGGCCGCTATGAAATTTAATGGCGTTCATGAATTTTCAATGCATATTTGTAATGAAAATTCATAACATTTTTAACAGTGTATTCGCCGTTAATTTATTAACAGGATTTGCCGTACTTAAAAGTACGGTGTTTACCGTACCTAGAAGTACAGCGTTTGCCGTACCTAGAAGTACAGCGTTTACTGTACCTGGAAGTACGGCGATCACCTTAATTTGTACAATGCACTTGTCAATAGGCATTCATTTCTTGACATCAAAGTCAATTTAGACGATTTTCAAAATGTACTCAAACTCTTTGGAATTGAATTAAACGTGAGATCTTTTTAACTTCACGTAAAAAGTGCCGCTTTGAAATCCAAGGGAATGTCTTGTTATATTTCTACGGGGTTAGGGTGAATTTTCCAAGTAGTCCAAATCAAGTGAATTTTCAAAGTGGTCCAAATCAAGATCTTCTTACAGAAATAGATTCGTCTCGTCAAGACGAACAAATAATGTCATAGCATGCCATATGTTTGGATGGAAAATGAAAAAACTATTCACCTACAAACTTTAAAATATGTTCAAAAAATGACCTTTTAGGAACTTTTGAAGCGTAATAACGTTGTCATTTTCCATCCAAACCTATGAGATGTGTTGACATTTTTTGTTTGACTTGTCGAGACGACTCCATTTCTGTAAGAATATCTTGATTTGGACCACTTCGAAAATTCACTCAAACCCCTTGGAAATAAACACGACATCCCCTTGGATTTCAAGGCGGCACTTTTACCGTGTTTGTACAAACTACGGGAATCGCCGTACTTCCAAGTACGGTTAACACCGTACCTCTAAGGGTAAGGTAAACGCTTTACTTCTAGGTACGGTAAACACCGTACTTTTAAGCACGGCAAATCCTGTTAATAAATTAACGGCGAATACCGTACATTTTTCTCACAGTGCTGTCGTTTCTTTTCCACAGGGTCGCATTGGCTTAGGCGATGTTTTCATGCAGCCAAACCTGGTGTTTGAACGCATTACGCCAGCGCTGAGGCGAGAGGTTTCAAAGCCTTTGACTTGGCCACGCCTTTTTTCGAAAGGGAAGAGGGCCCTCCAACCTGCAGCCTTATCAAAACTACTAGGCCTAATGGATACAGACAACGGTCGCAAGGTTTTTGCCGTCCTTTTTACATTTTTGGGAGGCGTAGTGCTGCGGCCCCACCCTGAGCACATCGACATTCCGGAGCCGGCCCAAAATGCGCTCAAACGCACATTACAATTGCCCGCTGAGTACAAAGTAAGACCCGCAACTTTTGGCTCCTCGCATTAAGTTAACAAAGACTGAAATTTCATTGTTTTTCGTGTTTTCTCCAGGGAGCTATTCATGAACTTGAGAAAGGATCAAAATCCTTCAGCTGTCGTGGTCAAGTTCGTGTCAAGTACTCTTCAATCAGTCAAGAGATGCGTGAAACTGTTGCTCTTGAGATCAAGAGTAACAGGTTTGTGATTCAAGAGGAACAGTTAGTAGAACTTGACAAATTTTTGACTCAAAATGAAAGAACAACAATGAGAGTTATTTTGTTGTGCTTTGGTGGTGTCGTGCTAGATTCTAACTTTGTTCCAATGGGACTTTCTAGTATTTTCAATGCTCCCAGATTGTAACTGCAGTTTGCTTTGAAGTTCTTAAAAAGTGTTTATGTTATTCTTTTGAATTATTTCTTAAAGAAGTACTTGACCTGATGCATCACTACAATTTAAGTGTTTTCAAAAGCTTTACTCCCAATAAATACTGATGACGTTTTCAACTATTATAAGTAACACTTTTGAACCTTCACTTTTGTTGACGAAGCGAATTCTCATCTAGCCTTTATCTGAATGTGAATGTGTATCTGTATACCCCGTCGGTGGCGCTCCCTGGTGGCGGACGAGTGTACCCCGGGGCTGCGCGTCGGTGCCTTGCTCTCTTGTGCTGTGTGTTCGGTGGCGTGCAGACGTGTGTATGTTGTACAGTAGATTGAAAGTCATAATAAACCAAGTCCTACGAAGCTTTTTGAGTCTTCATCAACCCCTTACCTCGATCAAACATCAGGTTATGGGCCCAGTAGACGCTGCTGACTCACTAGGTTTGCTTTGAGGACAGAAGAATCGAAAACCACAGTGAAAAGCGTGCAAGTGCACAAGCGTGTTGTGAACACGACTAACCAGGTGGGATATAATTGCTATTCTGAAGGTTTCATAAATACTGGAATGAAACTCGAGAGAATTAGATACCTATACGTTATGGTAGAAAACAATTGGATGTTCCAAAAGAGCTCTCGAGAGAAACATATATGGTTGCTTAGTGACACCTAACCTAACCAGGTTGGTTAGAAAGCATGCTGGATGTTCCAAGGATGTTCCTATGGAGGTTCTGGCTAACTTAAGCTGACAAAACACTGTTAAGGTTTAATGGTGTGAACAATAAGCGCATGTATGTGCTGTAAAAGAAAAAAAAAAATTGATAGACAAGAACTAGATGTTCTAGTTCTCCGCTGAATGTTTCTCCGTTTGACCCAAACGTTTTACTTTTCCAGTGTTGACTCTTTCTGGCCATAATGGAGGGCGACCAGACCAGGCAATTTCACTTCGATGGAAAGAATTATGACAGCTGGAAGTTCCGGATGAGGCTGCTCCTGGACAAGGAAAACTTGCTGCCTCTGGTTGACGAGGGCCTGGTCAAGCTGGTGGACAGGCAGGAGGTCTTGCCTTCGGATTCAGCTCAGGTCACCAGAAGGAAAGAGGAAGCGGTAACCAAATTGCGGCAACAGGACAAGGAGTGCAAGAGCATGATTGTTTCGAAGATTGACAACAGCCAGCTGGAGCTGATTATAGACAAAGCAACGGCTGTCGACATGTGGACCAGCTTGGGCCAGCGTTTCGAGAAGAAGTCTGCAACTAGTCGTCTAGTGTTGCATTCTATCTTCCTGGACCTACGATACGACCCCAGGTTGGAGACATTCGCAGACTACTGTCTGAGGTTTGACCAGAAGGCGCGGGAGCTGCGGCAGCTTGGTGACCCCATCGACGATGTTGGTGTGGTGGCACAGTTTCTACGCTCCATGCCTCGACCGGACTACGAGGGAATCGTCATGGCCATTTCCCATGGTGATCCAGTTGGCCTCACTATGCAAGGTGTTCGACTGAAGTTAGAAGAATTTGAGCTGACTGGAGGAACCAAGCGAAAGGTCCCCATGCCTAACACGGCCTTCGCCGGGTCCTACAAGGTGAAGGGCTCCTTTCCGTTCCCTTGCAACAACTGCAAGAACATCGGGCATCGCAAGGCGGACTGCTGGCTGCCTGGCGGCGGCGCGCACGATCCTAGTGTGCGTGGACGGGGTCGTGGCCGGGGACGCGGCCGTGGCCGCGGACGTGGACGAGGATCAGGATCAGCATCTCGGGGACGTGGTCGGGGCGGTGGCCGCGGCGGCAGTGCCGCGGTAGCTAACATCGAGAAGGCAGAAGATGACGACGACGACGACGAGGGATCCGAGAGGGTGGCTTATGCCTTCCTAAGTGAGGTACAGGAGGACCTAAAGCAAGTAGACTGGAGAGACCTGGTCTATAGTGACGCTGAAAAGGCTATGGCCACTAAGGTATTTGCTCATAAAGTGTTGTGGTTGTTGGACTCTGGAGCGTCAAACCATTTGGTTCGACCAGACGCTAAGACTGTCAACAGGAGAAAATTGGATTCACCGGTTAAAATTCATGTAGCTAAAAGTAATGTGTATCTCATGGCTTATGAGCAGGGAGATATAATTTCAGAAACGATAGTTAATGACCAGAAACAGAAAATTACTCTCACAAACTGCCTTATAGTGAATGATTTGAAACATAACCTCGTTTCCATTTCCAGGCTTGAAGGTATGGGACACCCGGTGCTTTTCTGGAACAGCAAGTGCTACATTTTCCGTGACAGACCAGGAGGTGATGTTGTGGCCATGGGGTTCCGAGAACACAATGTCTACCATCTGGGACTACAGACTACTGCTGGGAGCCGTGAGCTCTGCAATCTGGCTGGCGTTGGGATCCAGACCTGGCACGCCAGGCTTGGCCACTTGAGTGGTGGAAATATGGAGAAACTGTCAGGTATGGTAAGTGGTGGTGGTGAGTTTCGATCCAAAGAACTGAGATTCTGTGATACATGTGTGCTAGGTAAACAGAAAAAATTTACCACATTCTGGGGCTCGACCCAGAACCACGAGGCCTTTAGAGAGAATTCACAGTGACCTTTGTGGGCCCATAAGGCCCACGGCCTATGATGGTACAAGGTATATTTTAACTTTAATTGATGATTATACTCACTTTGCTGTTGTATTTGCTATGAGAAGTAAAAAGGAAGTCCTTGGCCACATACAGTTTTACGAGGCCAGAGCGACCAGTAGATTCTCTTCCAAAATCAGTGTGTTCCGTTGTGACAATGGTCGGGAATACATAAATTGGCATGTTAAAGACTTCTTTACAGAAAAGGGGATCCAATTTGAAAACACAGTACCTTATACTCCTCAGCAAAACGGTGTAGCTGAGCGCTTTAATAGAACCATACTGGATAAAGCCAGGAGTATGCTTTTTGGTTGTGAGTTAAAGAAAAGTTTTTGGATCGAGGCCACCATGACTGCTGTGTATTTGGTCAACAGATCTCCAACGACCGCCTTGCAGGCCAAGGTCCCAGCAGAGCTCTGGTATGGCAGTAAACCGGACATTAGTAAACTTAGGGTTTTTGGGTGTGTGGCGTTTCTTCACAAGCCCAAGGCCCTAACTAAGGGAAAATTTGATTCTAGGAGTAAGAAGTGTGTCATGCTGGGTTACAGTGATAACGGTTATAGACTCTGGTCGCTTGAGGAAGGCAAGGTCATTGTTGGAAGAGATGTGATTTTTGATGAAAGTAGGTTTAGATTTTCTACTGATTATTGGGCTTATGATTGTGATAAGAAAACAAATATTGAGGTAAGTGAGGATGTTGACGATGGCACTGATCCAGGAGGGGAAGTGGAAGAGGCTTCTGGTGATGTTCCTGCTCTTCCGGAACCTGCCCAAGTTCAAGCGGAGCTGGAGGAGTTCAGGGAACAATTAAACAATGAGGACGAGGTAGTTAGAGTAAGAAGGAGCACTAGAGTAAGGGTCCAACCCCAATATCTTCAGGATTACTGTGTGCTTAGTATGCTGGCTAATACAGTTGACAATATTTCAGAGTTGGACATAGATATAGCCTTAAATCAAAATAATAACGTCATTACTTGTACTGAAACGTGTCCTTCCGACACTGAATTTGAAATAGCCCTTGGTGCTGTTAATTATAGCAATAATGTACCGTTGAATTTTGAAGATATTGGGGGAAGGGATGATGAGTTGTTATGGAGAAAAGCCATTCAAGAAGAGATTGAGTGTCTAGACAAAAATAAAACTTGGAATGTGGTGCCTCTTCCTTCCGGTAAGAATCCTATAAAGAGCATGTGGGTGTTTACAATCAAATTAGATGGAGATGGCAACATTGAAAGGCACAAGGCCAGGCTTGTTATTAAAGGTTGTGCGCAGAGAAAAGGAATTGACTATGACGAGACTTATGCTCCAGTTGCTAGACTCTCAACAGTGCGGACGCTATTGAGCATTGCAAACAGACAGAAATTAAAAATTAATCAAATGGATGTTAAGAGTGCTTTCCTGAATGGTGTTCTCAATGAAGAAATATACATGTTGCCCCCTGAAGGAATGAAAGCAAAACCTGGACATGTTTGTAAACTCAACAAGACCCTTTATGGGCTGAAACAAGCTCCAATGGAGTGGAACAGAAGCTTTAATGATTTTGTAACTTCTAAATTAAAGTTTATCCAGTGCCGTAGTGATAAGTGTTTGTATATTCTTAAAGAAGGTCAAACTGTTGTGATGTACTTGTTGCTGTATTTGGGTGACATCCCCCTAGTGTGTAATAATGGTAACGTATTGTAGAAATTAAGAATAAGTTAATGAATAGATTTTAAATGAAAGACCTTGGAAAAGTTTATCATTTTTTAGGGATCAAGGTATCTGTGTCTGATGATGGGTTGTTCCTTAGTCAGACAGCATATATCAATAGTGTCTTTAAGCGTTTTAAAATGGACAATTGCGCTCCAGCTTCTACACCCAAAGGAGACTCATCCCAGTGATGATGTAAGTGGGAAGTGTATAATTGGTGAGAAATCATACCGTGAACTGATTGGGTGTCTAATGTATGCTGCACTGGGAACTAGGCCGGATATCTGTGCTGCGGTTAATTTCTACAGCCAATTCCAGACCAATGCCACTGAAGTCCAGTGGAAGGGACTAAAACGAATCCTGAGATACTTAAAGGGAACTGTGGAACTTGGGTTGTGGTACGGAAGTCCTGCTTATTCCCCGTTACAGGTTTATGCTGATGCAGACTTTGCCAGAGATTTGGGAAGAAAATCCAATTCCGGATATATTATAAAACTGTATGGTGATACTGTGGTGTGGGGGACTAGGAAGCAGGGCTCTGTCGCACTGTCATCGACTGAGGCGGAGTACGTTGCCCTGGCCCCCGCACTCACGGAGTTTCTAAGGTTAAAACAGGTTCTTGCTGATATGGGAGTTCACTGTAAGGGCCCTGTGCCAGTGTTTGAAGACAACCA